CAAAGAGTGCATGTTCCGTTAATACACTCTTTGGATATCTTTAAGATCACGTTTGAGAATATCATCTCTGTGGGTTTATGATGACAAAACACTATATTAAAGCAATTGATTGCTAGCTTTGCAGATTTTGGTCATAAGCTAAATAAAAACGACAAGAACAAAATCACTTTGGATGGAACTCGAACTGGAACACAAACACAAGTGGATTGAAAGAAATTCTACTTGATGACCATCAAACACAAGTTGTTGAATTTTTCTTTTTGGAAACAAAATCAAAAAAGAGTGAAAAAGATTTGATATCTCTGGAACCATTTGTTTTTCAGAAAGAGATTTGACTTGATAAAATTTGAAACCAAGTGGTTGAGCTTTTCAATTCGGACACAACTTCAACACAACAGAGAAAAAGAATCAATATCTTTGGAGCTTGGGCTTCACCAAATCGCTAAACAGACTAAATGAATATTTTTAAAGTGGTTGGTGCAAAGTTGAAAACCAAAACAAAAGATAAACTATTTCAGAATCATGAGTTTTGCCAGTTGGATGAGTTATTTCAATCATTGTGGTTGTGAAACGTTTGTTCAAGGTATTCGTGTTCTAGAAATTTATAATAATCTTTAGCATAATACATGAGATCAAAGGCTGTACCTGGTTCGACACCATAATCAACGAGGTTTTTGAAGTTGATGATTTTTGGAAACAAGAATTTATCAAAGTTTCTGATTTTCTTGGCCAGTAACACCTTTGTCACTTCTTCGACTTCGTCTGGCGGCACACAGGCATATAGTAGGTAGTTTCCCAAAGTCGTCTGTTTCTTGAATCTTTCCAAAAGATCACGTTCAATAGTAAAGTCATAATGACCTTGTAATTCGGAGTAGGGACAGTCGGGTTGAGAGGGACAGGCCTTTTGGGTTTTGTCCGATTTCATTCTTTTGTTGGACTTCATTGGAGTGGTTGTTTCAATTGGACGTTTGATGAGCTCCCAGACAAATCCATCCATGTTGGGCGGGTTTTGTAAGGTGACACCTACAGTACCCTTCGCCTGTTTATACATTGGGAAAACAGGCAAGGTCAGAATAGGGGGGACGTGGAAGAAAAGGCAGAACATCACCGACTAGTTCTTGTGCCCACAAATACAAGTGCTCAAACGTCAATTGCATCACTTTGCAGTTGTTTATTGGATGATGAACACGATAACCTTCTTTGGTGTTGTTTGAGCCTGTGCCATACTCTTTCATCAGAAGACCAATTTGTACATCTGTTGGATCTTCCGGAATCATCATCACAAGCTTGGAATTACTGGGTTCGTTTCCGGTATTCTTGATTGTCTGGGCTACCAGCCTGGCCTGAGATCCTGAAAGCCTCTGTTTTCAAACAAGGCGGTCAGTTCAAGAATCTATGGTAAAATTTAAATTGATTGCTTACTTTCTCATCTTTTAGGGCTTGCTTCGACGGGTCTTCCATTGTTACAACAATTCTTGGCTCATTTTGAGGGCTCAACTCAACCGCCTTGAAGAAAGATTTCAACTGTTCTTCCGTCTTCAACATAACCCCCTTGCCCTTTGGATACACATTATGACCAGGTATGTGAATCTGAATAGCAATTCCGCCAGTACCATCGGCCCCCTCCAAAATGGAACTAATTCCATCCAAATCTTCATTGTCGTCAATATCATTGGCCAGTTTGAATAAATTTTGTTTGAAAGCCACAAAAGCAGTCTCAGTCAGGTCCAAAGAACGAAATCCTGTCACCTCGTGAGTGAAATAACTTGAGCGCGAGTTTTGGGGTTTGGATCCATTGGAAACCTTGGTTGGGTCTACTGGTTTCTTAGTGCGGTATGAAGGTGAACACAAAATCACGGATCTTTTTATCTTTTTGAGCTACAGCTACATAGAGCAATATGTATAAGCTACATGAAAACCATGGTCAATAGTGAAAGAGTGCCTATTGACATACCTGTGGACAGACTTTCTTGGTAAATCTCGTAGGGGCTGGGCAATTCATTGTCATCCACATTGAATTGAACCATGCAGGTGTGAGGACTAATCCCTTTTTGAAGCACAGGGTATACAGAGTCCACACGCTCAGCTACATAGACAAAGATGTTCATCAGAGCAAGAATATAGACAGACTACATAGGCAATGAGATGGACAGCATACCAGAATTTTTCAAAGGACTTTCTTGAGTAAAGTCGTAGGTGTTGGAGTAATCCACATGTCGGTTATTGAAGTGAGCATGGCCGGTGGAATCACTGATACCAGTGGGATGATGAGCGTGGTTTACAGAATCATCCATCCACTCAACATCATCCAATCTCTCTTGACTAAACTGTACCCGTTAGAATCCGTCAAACGCCTGTGCTTGGTTATGTTACCCAGCACAGGCCTTTGACGGATTCTGGCGTTCTTGGCGTAACTTGGTGGTATGTAAGGTAGTGTAAATCGGATGGGTACAAGAGGCCCCTTATAAGCTTCAACCCTGTTCAAAGGACTCCATGTCAGCAAAAATAATGATACAATCAGAAGAATCAATAATTTTCCAATTACCTGGCGTATGGGTACAAAGAATTCTTGTTGATAATGTTTGTAGGGTTTGGAGGATTCATTTTTTAGATGATTTTTGCTTAAATAAAGACGTTAAAAGTGAAAATATATGGTTATTGTGAGTGGTTGGCCCCAAAATCAGGAGTGGTGGTGGTCTACATAGAAGAGGGTCCTTTCAAGGCCTTCAATTCTCTCCTTGACTTTCCTTGACTGACTGACAGGTGAGTTCTTTGACATCCTTAACGCTTCCATCCTGTCTGTTTCTGACAGGGCGCACAGACCACCACCTCTTTGTTTTTTGGTCGATGTGGCAACCTTTTTGGGAACAACAGTACAAACCAGGTCTACTTTGAGCCCTGGTGTTATATCCCCAGAACTTTTGAGTAAGGGGCTCGGGAATGCGGCAGCTGATTTATGCGGGAGAAACGAATTGCCAAATTTGACCGTGAGGATACTGCAATTCAAATTTGAAGTCCGACGGGTTTGACACAAATCGGCCGTTGACATTGTGCTGCGACGTCTCAAAGCGGAGTTGATTACTCCGTGGCAAATCAAGACGAATTGTTCAGCGTAGCGTCGCGGACTTAGCAACAACTGCCAAACGGTCATTCCATTGGGCGAGTTTGTCAAACGCACCAACAATGCAAATGGCGCTGTGAGGTGAGAAGCGCTTGTGTGGTGGATTCGGATTGGAACAAAGGGCACTCTCTCCTTCACTTGGCGGGGGTGTTTGCTTTGGTGAAGCGCAAGGACGCCAGGCTCCAATGGTTAAACAGAAGGGGCAACAAGGATGGATGCTGAGCCGCGGAACCCCAAATGAGGAGGCGAATTGGCAGTGATCGCGCTGAATGAGTGTAAGCTCAAGCAAAGCTAAGGAGGGGGGTCATCACTTGGAGGCAAATGGTGACGTGATGGCGAAGTGCTCTCACCAGACCAACCTTTTTGTCTGATTGGAAGAAGATCTCATCCGCACTTTGTCAATTTTTGCTTCGCCTGCAGAGCGCTTCTCTCACTGCCAGCCAACCTTTGTTTTATTTTGTAAATTCACCGCTCTGCTCGCCGTCGTACTCCGCGACAGGGCGATGGCACCGTTGAAGAACGGGCAGACGTCAGCGTCAAGAGCAGGCCTGTTTGAAGCAATTCAGGCAAGGGGCACTTCACCATCAACATTAATCAAGACCGGCCTCCATGACTTCCCCTTCGCGGCCAACATCCATGATTGGCTTCCATTCCCGCTTGTTCATATCGCCCCGTCCCCTGCCGGCTTCGACCACAATCCGCTTTCCAACTGTTTTGTACAGGATACTTCTAGACAGCCACCTGATTTTCCTTACGATGTTGTCCGATTGACCCTTCCTCGTGAAGCTGGCATTGAACAAGACGTAGTTTTTGCCATGACCGCCTCTTCACCATGGACATTCCAAGGCAAGATTTATAACGGGAGGGGCCGATTATCTTTTGACGCCACGGAATCCAACACAACACTCTCGCCTTCTCACCGTGGACCCATCCGTGCTCATGAATGGACCAAGACTTGGTTATGCAATTGCTCTGGGAAGCCTTGCAACCGTATTCAACCTACAATAACCAACACCAAACAATTGACTGCTGGATCCATTTGCGTTCAGTGCCCAGCCAAGTTTGTCATCAGGAAAACTTTGACCGGCAACCTAGAGTTCGAGTGGCACTGGAAGCATGAGCGGCACAACCCTTATTCGCTTGCTGACATGCGCAACATGAGACTACCGCAGGTAGTGAAAAACTGGCTGAATGAAACTGACTTATTCCCGGTTAGTTCAGTCTTCATTGACCGTATTACGACTGTTTGCGGACTCCCAAACCAGGAAGTTGGCTCTAAGATCGGAATTGTACCCGAAGCGTTCAATATTGACTATCAGAAGGTTTGAAACATGATCCGACGAGTCGAGGAAAAGACTAAATTCCTGGACTCTAATGTCCTCAAGTCCGTCGAGCCTTGGTGCCAAAGACTGCAAGAACGAGGATGGCACGTCCTCAATGCAATCGACAAGACCAAAAAACGTGTTCAGGTTGCCTTCCTCTCACCTTGGCAACGCGAACAGCTCTCCTGCCACGGTGCAGATGTTCTTTGCTTTGATTCGACACACAATGTTTGTTCCGGCATACCCAAATTACCACTCTTGAAATTCACATTGCTCATGCTCGTCATGCGGCATCCTGTTACTGGGAGTGGCATACCGGTTTGTTGGTTCCTCAAATCCAATGAAAAAGCGTGAGTTTGTCAAAGAAAGTGCAACATCTATCTCCCATTGCTGATAAGAATTAATCGCAACAGCAAAAGCATCACTCACTTGCTACGTTGGTTGAAAGATAACTTTCAAATGTGCCCCAAAGCGTTCATGACGGATTGTGCCCCAGCTTATCAGAAAGCTGTGAAGGAAACCTTTGCCAATTGCGCCGCCAAACCCCGGCACTACTTCTGCATTTTCCATGTATCCCGCGCTATCAAAGCCAAGGCCAAGACATTAGTGAGTCGTCTCTACAAAATTGATCCGGGCCAGAGAAAAAACTGACACATCAACACAGGGAGGCGTTACAGGTGGTATCCAACTTCATAAGGACGCTATGCAGGTCATATACGCGTCTCAATGGCAAGACACTTACCTCCATTTCCAAAGCAAATACCGCGCCAGCAATCCTGAATTTGCCAGATACTTTGAGTTCCGGTGGGTTGCAAATGCTACTTACTGTATGATGTCTGAACGTGACGTTCCAATGTAAGGGATTCATACTAACAACTTCACCAAGAGTTATCACCGGGTGTTGAAGTATAACTTTCTCAGCTGCCATACTCTCCGTAGACCAGACGATACAATCCAAGTACTTGTCGATAGTGCGGAATGCGACTTCCGGCAAAGCGTAATCACCACGACCCTTGGATTCCGGCCAAGCGTAATCACCACGACCCTTGGATTCCGGCCCCAGTGTTCTACCAAATACCAAAACATTTTGAAAGGCCTCCTTCAAAGCTACACTGAAGCCGGTTCAGTAGACTTAGGTGTTGCAGTCACAACAGTCAACAAGGAACAGGTAAACACCCAACTTTATCGTTAACCAACTGAGACTAATATTGTTATCCATAGTGGAGCGTCAGCAGCTTCACCCGACCATTCAATACCACGTACCACATTAAGACAACACCACCTACACAAGGCTCCGTCGGTTGTAGGATTTTACTTTTGACTGTAGACAAATACCTTTTAAAAGGTAACAGAAATACTTCAGCTACGTGTTGACGAGACACGGCTGACAGACTAAGATGGACGACTGGAAAGACTCAACAGACCTGAACAAAGAAGATAATAAAGACTTTAGAATCAATTTCTTCGATAAGATGAAACAATCACAAACACAATAACAAACCTTTTAAAAGGTAACAGAAATACTTCAGCTACGTGTTGACGAGACACGGCTGACAGACTAAGATGGACAACTGGAAAGACTCAACAGACCTGAACGAAGAAGATAATAAAGACTAACATGTAGAATCAAAAGAGAAAGAACAATATTTGTATGATAGAGAATTTTAATCAGTGTATTGATAGGAAAAAGAAAAGAAAAGAAAACCTCACCTTTAGAATCAATTTCTTCGATAAGGAAAAAGATTCTAAAGGAAAGAGGGACAAGGTTATAAGAAGAAAAACAAGGTGCAACGAGAAAATCAAGGTGTAGTTAATTGAACAATGAGAACTAATCTAATCAGCTTCCGAGAAACAACAGAGCACGAAAACAGAACAATTGAACAAAGAATGTACACTACTATGATCTTTAACTATCTTGTTCGACCTCGATAAAATAAAGACACACACGTTGTAATACTAAATTTGATATGTGATAATTGAACAACTAATTTGTATACTGACTTTCACACAGTAACTTGAAGTTCTTGACCGTACACTTATCACTTGAAGAAAATTAAATCCAACACACCCCCTCAAGAACTTGCCAGTTACTACTTTATTCCTAGTCTACTCCGCAGTCAAATGAATTGTTGTTTACCAAGAGCTTTAGTAAGAAGATCAGCTACCATTTCTGAAGTAGGACAATGTTCTACAATAAGATCACCATTTTTAACTACTTCTCTAATCCAATGATACTGAATTTCTATATGTTTTGTTCTTCCATGAAAAATTGATTTCTTTGTGAGATGAATAGCTCCTTGATTATCACTTTGAAGTACTGTAGGATTTGAATCACGACAACCAAAATACTCCATCATCTTTCTTAACCATAAAAGTTCTTGACCAGCTTCTGTTATAGCTCTATATTCAGCTTCAGTAGATGATAAAGCAACTGTTGGTTGTAACCTACTTTTCCATGAAAGTGCACCCCCGGCTAAAGTAAAAATATAACCAGTGGTTGATCGTCGTGTAGATTTATCTCCTGCCCAATCTGAGTCACAGTGTGAAACAGGATAAGAGAAACTACGTTGACCAGAAATTTTAAGATTATCTTCTCCTGAATAAACAATTCCTAAATGAATAGTTCCTTTGAGATACCTGAAAACTTGTAACGCTGCGTTCCAATGTTGTAAGCTAGGCCTGTCTAAATGTTGAGAAAGAACTCCTACAGAATGAGCCAGATCAGGTCTTGTACATTGAGACAAGTACATTAATGAACCAACTGCACTTCTATAGTTGAGACCCAGTGAAGAGAAACTTGAACATTCTTCATCAGAAGATTGATACAACTTGAGGTTTGGAGTAAGAGGAGTTGAAGCAGGCTTTGAGTCGAGCATATCAAAACGTTTTAAAACAGTAAGCGCAAATTTGGTTTGAGTAAGAGAATAGATGAATGGGCCAGGCCTGTCGATTTTGATTCCAACAATTGTTTGAGCCAGTCCAAGATATTCCATTTCCCATTTGGAGGAAATTTCAGATTTGAAAGTTGAAGAGTCGTTACCGGTAATTGCCATGTCGTCAACATGGATATAAACCGCTGTGAACAGTTGTTTTTCTTCATCTGATCTAAAATAGATACAAGGATCGATGATGCATTGTTCAAAACAAAGAGTGTAGATAAG